CTGCACTCGATGCTGGGTTAACCGCAGACGATATTGTGCATTGCGAGTATTATTGTAATTGTTTTTTTATTCGTATTTTATATTATTAGCACGTGTATTCAATCGTTATTAATATAAACACTTATTGCACTCTGTTACGCAAAATATAAAAAATATCGTTGACAAAGCTCTATTATAAAACAACTTCAAAGAAACATTGATAGAGGACGAAAAATCACCAAATTTAAATAAAAGTTTTCGAGATAATTGATAAAAGAAAAAAAAAACAATCAAAATACAAAAACAAGTATTAATAAGAAAAATGGCAACCGAATGGTGACAGTGAACCAGAATACAAAAATGAAACATAGAACTTTTTCAGATACCCTACACCATATGATGAGGGTATCTTACATTTTTAGTTTCATTTGCAACCTCTCGAAATATCCATCTTTGATATATTTTGACATCGTATTGGAACTATATTACGTTGAGCTTTGAAACGTAAAAAAATGTTTTTGATCTGTCTTGTATTGGAATGATAACAGGATAAAAAATTTCTATCGGTTTGCCGACCAATGCAATTTATTATTTTGATTTATGATATGATCGAAACCCGCGTCGCAGTGCCGGAAAAATGGTTCGTAAGCTGAACATATCGCAATATTCCATTCGGCAAATATGAAAAATGAGTTCGGGGTAAAGCCATTGAAATTCCAAAAAGTGCAAGAACCTACACCGCAACAGAAAAAATAGACCCAAAAGAGCAAGATTTGCTTCGCTTGGCCGAAAGTGGTGAACTGCCGAATTTGGTTTTCTCCGATGAAAAAACATTCGTTGTCCAGCAGTTTGTAAACAAACAAAATGATAGTGTTTACTTGCCGAAGAGATCAGCTGAAAATGTGCACCTTCGGTTGGCCACCAGAACTCAAGCACCGGCCATGGTGATGGTGTGGGCCACCATAACAGCCGATAGTCACTCTCCGCTCGTTACAAAATGAGGTTCCTCGCATTATTTCCAGCGCACAATGACCACCAAAATCTCCAGATACCAATCCGTTGGACTATTGTGTCTGAAGTTATTTGGAGACCAAGGTTGGCACTAAAAAATACCAAAGTGTCGATCAACTCAACTTGAAGGTTCCTGACCAAATTTCCGGCAAAAATAAGTATAATTTGATAAATTTTCGAAAAAAAATATCTATTTTAGACCCCATTTTTGGGGTTTCAATATTCAATTTGAGCTTAGTTTTTGCTATAGATTTATTTCTCGCCAAATAATATTATTTTAGGTCCCCATTTCGGGTGCTTTGGGCGTAGATTTACATCTCACAAAAAAATGTGCAATATCGGTCCAATTTTTTATTTGAGTCACCATACGATGAAATATCAAGATTTTCGATATTTTAGAGGTTTCTGCCCCAATTTGCAAACGACTTAGCCGTAATTTGATAATTCGAACTCTCTGTTGGTAGATTTAACACCTGCAAAAAGTTAGTATTGTCCAAATTGCAGGTTGCACCACTTTTTGATACAGGCCTGCCTACCATGCCAGATTTTCGTTGTTTTGGAGGTCTCTGTTTCAGTCTCTGAGGGAAAATCAAACTATGTATGGCATGCCCGCATTTCGCGTTCTTTTGGTCGGAAAAAAATCAATACAGGTCAACTTTTTGTTATATTCCGTAATATACCGTATTTTCCACGGAATCTTTGGGAGTACATTTACATGTCGGACAAAATGTTCACCATAGGATCGCTTTTTAGTACGATTCGATTCCGTATTTTGAAGGTTTCTGCCCCAATTTAATTTTCCTAATCAGTTTTTATATGACATTTCATTTTCGTTATTGCTAGGTTTACTTCTAACAAAAAATACAAATTTCCGGTTGGCTGTTGGTAGATTGACTTCTGGCTAAAAATACTCTATTTAGGTTCGTTTGTTGGTAAGTCAATGGTACTTACCGATTTTCTGTCCGTAATTTCTAACTTTAGGGGTGATGTCTCCAAATAACGGTGTTTCTAAATTTTAAAATATGTATTGGTGGAAATTTTGGGGCTGAGGTCCAGTTTTAAGAACTACACATATTTTGCAAAACTCTGTCGGTAAGATTTATTCCTCTCGAAAAATATTCAATTTATCCATAAATCAAGATACAGAATGTTCAGGCCATTTTAATATGAAGTCATTTTTAGTTCTTAGATATTTTGAAATCGTAATAAGTAGAAAACACAAATGGAGATTTTGGGACTTAAGTCCAGAGAACAATGGTACAATGTTTTAATTCTTGAAGTGGGCAACCAAAATCCTATAAGTTTTCCTTTTTGTTAGCTCGTCTAATACACAGTGGAAATTAATATGTAGCTATGGAGGTCTTGATTGGAATAATATAATGACCCGAAAAACTTCATTTAAAAAACAAATACTCAAAATCGAATGTCAAATTATGTCACTTGTTTTCGAGTGGTGTATGAACCGCGAATGTAACACAAACTTTTCCGTAAAAATCTACAAGTTTTCAAATTATATTTTGGCTCACTTTTTACATAAATTAAATTCTAACAATTTAGTACCATATCCTATGGCATACGTAAGGGCAGTCGAAGGAAGTTGGATAAGTCGACTTAGAGTGACTGCTTCGTTTCGTTTTCATCTCTGATTGCCTTGGAAAAATCCATTCTTCACCACTCATAAATAGGTTTCTTTGTAAAACCTCGTAGCCCCTGTTCAAATCTATTCATAGCCGAAATACATTGATTCCCAGCCCCAAGATCAGCCACCTGCAAAACATATCTGTGGAAGTTTAATTTTCCCACCTAACCGTTATTAAAATTTGTTCATAATTGATAATCATAAAAACCCCACCCAACTCTGGTAATTAATGACAACATTAATCTTTAAAAGATTTTGTTCTTAGATGGGTGTTAAGGCCAACATAGCTCGCTAAATGTGTCTGTCTAAGAAAAAAATATACAGTGGTGGCCATATCATATGCAACTAAGATTCATCTACGTTAAAAGGCTATATAAATTTGTAAATTTCACAACGAAGTATATAAAGATGGGTTAATTATAGTCAATACGTTCTTACGATTTCAAATTATTATCAAAATGTGCATCTTTTGTTTACATCTCTATGTTTACAGGTGTTTTGTTGACAAATATGAAATTTGGTGTGGTCAAAACATATGCAACTTTATATATTTGGTTTAAATAACGGCATTTTTACAATTTCGTTTGTTCTATTGTTCTTCTTATTATTAGCTAGAGACACTACGTAAAGAGATTTAAAGCTACCTTCACATTTTTATTGCGTTGCTTTTTTCACAAAGCTAAAATAGAGTTTGTTCAAAAATGGCACGCGATAAATTTGGACTTGAGCTCAGACAACGAATTGTGACTGCGTATTCTTCTGGATTATCACAAAAATGTATTGCCGAGAAATATACCGTTCATAAAAGCTCCATATCGCGCATCATTAATAATTACAAAAAAAAATCACAAGTCTCTGTTATACACCGTGGTGGTCGAAGTCGAAAAACAAGCGATCGGACGGACAAATTAATAATCAGACACGTGAAAAAAGACCCATTTATATCATCCTCTAAGATAGTGGAAAGATTTCAGTTGCCAGTTTCTGCTCGCACCATCCGTAGAAGACTTTTACAAGCCTCCCTCTGCGCAAGACGTCCTGCAAAAAAACCACTGATATTCAAGCGAAACCAGAAAAAGCGTTTGGAATTTGCTAAAGCTCATATAAATTGGACAGAAAGTAAATGGAGAACTATATTATTTAGTGATGAGTCCAAATTTAACATCATTGGTAGCGATGGCATGTGCTATGTAAGGCGACCAGAAGGAAAACGACTCGAAGCACGTTACTGTAAAAAAACGGTCAATCATGGAGGGGGCAATATAATGGTGTGGGGTTGTTTTTCTGGTGCTGGAGTTGGCCCACTGCATAGAATTGTTGGTATTATGGATAGATTTATGTATAAAGACATATTGCAAAGGGTAATGCTCGCATACGCAGAATATAATATGACATTGCGGTGGGTCTTTCAACAGGACAACGACCCCAAACACGCTTCGAAGGTGGTCAAATCGTGGTTTGCCGATAATAGAGTTACGGTAATGGAATGGCCACCCCAATCCCCAGATTTAATCCCAATAGAGAATCTGTGGGAAATTGTAAACAAAAAAATTGATCGAGAAAATTGTACAAGTTTAGATGTTTTATTTTGCCGGCTGGAAGATGCCTGGAAATCAATCCCAAAAAGCGTCATTGACAATCATATAGCGTCAATGCCTCGAAGATGTCAGGCTGTAATCGACAACAACGGATTTGCAACAAAATATTAACTTTATTTGCACTTTACTGAGCTCGATTTAATTAGTTGCATATGTTTTGGCCACTTCATAATAAGACTGAATATCTTTTTCTAATTTTTTTTTATAAATGAATTGAATATCTATGGAGTATATGTTTTTTTTCTTAAACTACAAGCAATAAAAAATAATATTTAAAAAAATAATTGCATAATTTTGTTTTCAGAAAATTTTTTCACGGTTTTTGGTAAAGGTTAGATTTCAGTTGCATATGATATGGCCACCACTGTATATCGTTGGAATCAAGGTCTTCACTATGCAATACACGTCTTACTATATTCCCTAGGTCAGTTTTCAAAACAATAAGAAGCCAGGAGTCCTAAATCCATTCTAACCTGATTATTTTCACACAATTTATGCTTTCGTATTCGTGTCGTGTCATGTAATTCGAACTTAATGACCTTTTGTTAAATATTATCTGGTATATTCAATATCGGTTCACATATAAAAGCTAAAACGAATTTTGTTTACGGTTCTGGCCAAAAATATTCAGTATTTCAAGGTATTAGTATTCCCAAATTGTTTACTTAATATAGGGTACAAAAAATTCCGCACAACCTAACTTATCACCGTTTTTTGCTCCTTTTCTTTTTTCTCATTTTGTTATTGCTACAACACCAAAAACAAAAAATTACCGTATTAAAACAATAGGCGGCGAGACTGGATGCTTGATGGCAAAAATCAAATTCGCCCGAGAGATGATGATCAATGTTTTCTTCACTTAAACAATTTCACAGCCCACAAAACAGCCGGAGAGACTAACAACAATTCCACTTCCAAGAATTTCTGATTATTTTGAATTGAAATTAATTATAATTATTTTTTTGTTTGTTTTGCAAATTTACTGCTTTTAATTATACTGAGATAAGTATTACGTTATTGGTGTTGTTGTTATTTATAGATTTTCATTTAAACATTAAAATTCAATACGGCACTTGGTACGTTTTGGTTTTAAAAGATTCAAACAAAGACTTCGTCAGTCAATACGTATTTATTTTATTATTATTTCTGTTTTATTTTTTGCATTTGATAGAGGAGAGAAGAGTGATAGAAAAGACGTAGGTTTGGTTTTTTTCTTCTAAAAACAACAATTGTTTAAAACACACACGTACGCACATACATGGAGACACACGCACACACTCGAACACTCACGACATGGAGACGAACGCGCCAAGCCAAAAAAAACAACATTCACCTGAAGGTGTTTCTCAAAAAGCCCGTTTTATTTTAAGCTGGCCTTTAATTTCAGCAAGGGGTTTTCCGTTTTCTTATTGTAAATTTTTGGCTAATGAACTTTCCGTTTGTTATTTTCTGCTCTCTTCCTCCCAAGTTGTCATTGGTTTTGTTTACGTTTTATGATTTGACAAAAAGCCAAGCTCAATACTTTGTTTTATTAATTTTTTTAATGTGTTTTTTTTTTTTCTTCAATATTATTCTTTTCTCACTTTAAACGCACACACTCGTATAAAAACACACAGCGAGACTTGAAAACTTGTTGTCAATTTTAAAACGCGCTCACACACACGCAACAAACATGCACATACATGAAATTTATTTGCGGGCTTAGCTTTGAGATTGGAAACAAGAGTCGAAATAAATCCGCTTCTATGCACGACCGCGTCGACGTCTCATAGATAACTGAAACTCGCTTTGCACAAGACCAAGCCAGAGCAGTGCCACAATCATCGTCGTGTTGTGTGATAAAGGCAATGTTGGTTTGGTTGACTGCCGCCACTCACTTTGTCAAGTGGAAACATACGAGACATTCAACGGTGAAGTAATGCCGTTTGGGAGCCAGCACACACTCTGTCATGCCATGACAATGCATTCACAGAGAGTTGTGAGAGGCGAAATGCCATCACAAAAGGGAAATGTTAAAACAGCCTCACACATGTTACACTTGTTACTCAGAGACATGTAGCCATTACTGTTGCTCATACTTGTTGAGAGAGGGAGAGTAATTTTCTACTCTTATTACATTCCTCTCTCCTTGCTCACTAAATTTCCCAAATGAGAGTCTTAGATAAAATCACAGCTGTTTACCGGCATTTTCTTGTTTTGGTTAATCAAACAATTTTATAGCATGCTATAATTTTTTCCTCTCTCATCCTTCACTCACCCAACAGCCACGATTTAAGACTTGTTGGTTTGGCATAGAGCAAAATAATTGGTGTGTTTGGTATCTTTTGTTGTTGTTCTTGTTGTCCCTTATATTGAATTGTGTTTTTCCGTAGCGCTTTGTTGTTTGGTCACAGGAAGACACGTGCTTTACTGCTTGTTCAGATGATTGTTATGTGGATTTCGTTGTGTCTGTTACCTACATATCTACCTTAAATCGAAAGGACACTGTCTGGAAAGACATTTTACGTAAGAGAACGTCGATTTTTGAATGAGAACATTATTTAACTTTTGTTTTGTTGCGCCTTTCATTCTTTGGTTGAAAAATATAGTTGAGCGGTTTTGTAAAAAAAAAATGAACTTTTATAGAAATTGGTTGGGTTTTCCGTTGCAAAGTAAAATGTTAATCCACATAAATACAAGAGTAAATAAATCCACATAAATACAAGAGTAAATTGATTGACTGACTAACTGATTTAATGATTCATCAACGCCCAGACGAAATGGCTGAAACCTGAATTTTTAAACGTTCGTTGAGGTTCACTCTAGGTCCAAAGGTGTCAAATAAGGCTGGATTTTTGGAAATTTCTACTAGAACGGTACTAAATTACCACACCCTTTGTATTTGACGATACCAGTATAGCTAGAACTCTCTTATTTGAAACGAGGGTCAATTATAATGTATTTGACGGATGTACCAAAGGGTTTTCGAAAATTCACTGTACGTGTACGAAAAGTACTAAAAATGTACTACATTTGGTATCACTTCGTATCATATAAACGGTTAGGGTTTAAAACTAAAAAAATGGGATGGTAATCAAGTTTGAGGAGTAAAGTCGATAAAAGGGAGTAATGTTGGACGTGTGTGCTCATGTATACGAAATGTACTAAACTGTACTAAATTTAGTACAATTAGAATTTGAAGGAATGGATGGAGCTGGAATCCTGAGATTTGAAATTAATATTATTGGAGAAATGTTTTATTTGAATATGGATGTAGTTTTCAAAATTTGTACTCTGATGTGCTCGAAAAGTAATTTAGTACTAAATTTGGTACAATTTCGATTTGGGTGAACCGATAGAGCCGGAATGCTGACATTTTGAGATTATTATTGCATTGTAAGTTTGAGGTTTGGAAATTCGTACTTATAAATACTAAATGGTACTAAATTTGGTACAAATTGGATTTAAATGAAACTATAGAACTGGAGTCTGGAAATTTGCAATTATTTTTGGAAATAAGTACTACAAGAGCACAAAAAGATAATAAAGGGTACACAATTTAGTATTGATTGCACGGACAGTGTTGGGGTCAGAATATATGTGGGTAGGTTTGAGATATGAAGTGGAAATGAATACTCACGTGAGCGAAAAGTACTAAGTGGTACTAAATTTGGTGTTAGGTGAAGGGCTAGAGCTAAAATTAAGGTACAAACCGAGATCTGATGTTGAGATCCGGCGTGATTTTGGAAATCTGTATCCTAATTGTACGAGAAGTGCTACGTGATACTAAATAGGGTATTGGGTTAATGGATAGAGCTGGAATCCTGAAATTTGATTTTGAGTTCTCTGTTGGTATCAGGTGTTGAGATATGGAGGTGGTTTCGGAAATGTGTTCTATAATTGTACGAAAAGTACTAAATTTGGTATTGAGTGAAGAAATAGAGATGAAATCCCGTTGTATCTGGTTAAGGAATAGAGCTAAATTTCTGAAATTTGATGTAGATGCCACTGCGTTAGTGGTTAAGATATAGATGAAGGTCCATTGTGTAATGGTTTTACAAATATCATCTTCGGTAAATTTCAAAATTTAAGATTTTGAAGACTTTATTTGTATAAAAGGTAAATATTTTCTTATTACTTTCCTAAAAAGAAAAAAATGTAAGACTTATGTTAGATACGAAATGGACAACATTGGTCCAGCCCTTCGGAAAAATGTTAGTGAGTTACCAGATTTAGAGGATCGAAGTATCCCACCTTCATCTAATACAATTATGAAATAAAATAGGCATGTGCAAAATTTATGTGAATAAATGTTTATCAAATTTTTAAACTATTGTAGGGAAGGTACGAGAAGAAGCAGGTAGATAAATTCACATCAGATATATGGTTGGGAAAAATATTTAGATATATGAAATGTGAAAAGAAACGCTGACTTGTTTCGAAAATTATAAAAAAAAAATATTGAAAATTGTTACCCCTGTGGAGAAGGTACCAAAAGGGGTGGGCCGATATCTATCGTCTTTGCAACAGATCTTGAGTTAGGATGTGCGAAATTTAAAGAGCATCGGATGCTTCTTTCTTGCTATATGAGCTAAAGAGTTATTCGAAATTTTTGAGAGTTACCAGAAAGAAAAAAAACGATATATCCTATCTTCATACCTGATATTGTGCCAATAAATGTATCGGGATTTGTAAAATTTGAAGAGAATCGAACTTTTATTGCGCCCTTTGTAAGAGAGGTTTCAGAAGAGAAGAAGTAGTCCAGATCTTATGTTGATAAAAATATTGAGATTTGCCAATTTTGAAAGAAATTGGATGCTCATTTTGCGTGTTATGAGCTTCATGGTTATTCAAAATTTTGACCCTTTGTGATGAATGGTTCGTTCTACATGTTCTTTAAGCAGATCTTAGGCTGTGGTAAATATTGGGATGTGAAAATTTTGAAAACAATCGGGTTCTTATTTCACATTTTATGAGAGCTATGATTATTCGAAATGTTGACCCTTTGTGGCGGATGGAGTAGGCCGCTATTGTTCATTTTCGCACCTGACCTAGCTCTGATAAAAATATATGGATTTCCAAAGGTTGCACAAAACCGAATGATCCTTTCTCTTTCTTTGAAAAATTTGACTTTTTGTTGGGTAGGTACCAGAAGATTTAGACCGAATCCAAATGTCTTGAAAAAGATTTGCTCCAAAGAGACCCAGGGTCTTAAACCGTTATTTCAATGAGGCACGTTTTGACCGTATCAAATGATATAGAGGGTGAGATAAAAAAAAACTAAAACAAAGTCAAACGCCAAATTTTTAGATTTGCTCAAATTGGTCACCTTTGGAACGAATTGTGGCCTTCAGACGGCCAATGAAATCGTCACACGCTGCCCGAATGTTGCTCTGCGGTATTTTGTCTCATTACCGGCGAAACGCTTGCTTGAGTTGGTCGACACTTTGGTACATTTTAGTGCCAACCTTGCTTTCTAAAATACTCCAGACACAATAGTCCAACGAATTGGCCATTGTGCGCTGCAAATGAAGCGAGGAACCTCAATTTGTAACCATTCTTGGGTGGCGCGTGCTGAGTGCAATGGTGCTGAGTCCTGTTGGAATATCCAAGGTCTGCGGCCAAATTTTTTGCTTGCCCAAGGTATTTTTACATTTTCAGCTGACCTCTTTGGTAAGTAAACACTATCATTTTGTTTGTTTACAAACTGCTGGACAACGAATGTTTTCTCATCGGAGAAACCAAAATTCTGCAGTTCACCACTTTCGGCCAAGCGAAGCAACTCTTTAGCTCTTTTGAGTATATTTTCTTTCTGTTGCGGTGTAAGTTCTTGCACTTTTTGGAATCTCAATGACTTTACCCCGAGCTAATTTTTCAATATTTGCCGAATGGAATATTGCGAGCCATTTTTCGGCCACTGCGACGCGTGTTTCGATCAAGTCGCTTCTTTAGTTTTCGAACCATTTTTGCTGATGTTGCTGTTTTCTTCCGCCAACTTCTTTGACGTCGGGCTACGCTACCAGTATCACAGTAACGAGCGATGGTTCGAGACACAAATGATTTATTCACATTTAAATACTGGAGTGCTCTAACGATAGCCAATTGTTGTTTTCCAGCCAAATATAAAGAAAACACAGTATCACGCTTAAATTCCATCACGAATGACTTTTTTCTGGAAAATTCTTTCCAAAATGCTTTTGCACGCTTGTAAACAATATAATGAGCTGTCACTGGAAACATTTTAATGGCTGTCGGACGAGTGGCTTAGAAATGACAGCAGTCTGAAGTTGGTTGCAGTTTTTTCATCTCACTCTGTATTTCTATTTTCCAAATGTCTGGCACAGAGTTCTTAAATTATCAATTGATCTGCTATTAATACCAGAATCCTATACTGGCTTATATTTGAAGAGGAATTTTAAAATTGCAACACTCTACGATATTTTCAGGGCTATATTTGAGGAAAATTCACTAATAATTAGATTAATTTATAAATCTGGGTTTCACAATCCATCAACCTCAAATGACTTCCTATTATTTTAGAATACTACATTTCTGAGAAAACCTTGCTGTACATCAATTATATTTATATAAATTATGCATATCCGCTTATATACATCCGATCGACAACGACATTTCATGCATACATTGCATTTTCAGAGCCAAACCACGCATCACAATTGTATTTTTAGACACCCCTAAAAATTTCAACAGATCACAGACCATTTGATTTATTTTTCCAAAGCTTAGCAGGAAACCAAGAAAAAAACCTGGACCACAAAAATAATAATTGCATTGGTAAGTGGTGCCACTCCGGCACTTGTCAAGAGCGTTAAAACTGGAAGCGAACACATGTTGCGCATGTGCAACAGCAGGGGTGGTGGTTGCAACCGACGAAAAT